TTTACAGACCTAGTAGTGCAGTGGGAGCCGAGTTTCACTAGCAGCTGAAATAACGTCAGGATACGGGGATAGTTTTGAAGATTGAATAGAAAATAATTGCACAATGTTTCCGGGTGATATTCCTGCTACAGCACGGTTTTTAAGGAGCTTCCTTGTAATAGAAAGAAGATTAAATATTATGTCATAAGGTGATAGTATGGAGCCATGTTGAACAGATCTGGGAGGGAAGCTGAGCAGGAAAGTGGATCAGTAAGAAGAGTGGCATGTGTGATGCCATGAATACTTAGCTGCTCTGGATGAAGCTATCTCTAGTTTCTTTATCTCAATTTTACTTGGCATCTGAACTTTGCTGGAACAGAGGCTTGCCAACCACAGCTACAGCTGCCGAATCCCCTCTGAGCATCTGTGCTTATGTGAGAGTGGTATGGCAGAGTTTTGCTCTGCATGCTTCTAGTTGCATCTTCCTGCTGATCCCTTTCCTAGCACCCTATTTGAAGATGTCAGCCACTTTCCTTTAGGATTTTCAGCAAACATTTCCATTTGATCAGGGGAACATGGAATGTACCGCACCTGTCAGTGGAGCAGCTTTGTGGTTGTTTCGTGTTTCTTCTGGCCAGCTACACAACTTGCTATGGCAGCTGCAGAGGTGAAAAAATCTGCTCACTGGTTTGCTCTATAAATACTGCTCCCAGCTCTTGGAGCAAAGTGCAGAGCTCAGCTGCAGTTGCGTTTGGTCTTTTAAGTTAAGGCTGAAGGCTGGAGTTGATCCATAACTTGCAGTTACCCTGTAGAGGATATAGAAGGCAAAGTCTTCTGTTTTTTTTTGTTGGTGTGGGTTTTTTTGTTTGGTGGTTTTTGTTTTGTTTTGTTTTGTTTTTTTTTTATACTCTTGCTTCCCCTCCCACTCTAAAGACTGGAGTTGACATAGCTATTCCTTCATCTGAAGGTAAGGATTTCTTACGGCTTTTCTGAGAGGACTTTCCAAGAGGGCAGTAGTTCTGATCCGTGCTACAGTCACCGCCTCTGTTCTCTCAGGGGCCTCCAGAACTGGATGCTTGGGGGTCTTGATTCTAATTCTCTTCTGTGTGGGACATGTAGGGAAACATCATCAAGTATGAAACTGTCAGAGCTGTAAACTCATCTTTTTCCGAATTTATTGGCAGGTCCAGAAAATGAAAGCCTTCTTCTAAGTTTCAAAAGCTAATTCTCACCTCTAGCCAAATACACAGATGCAGATGCATTAACTCTGCAGGGTTGCACTTCTAAACCTGCTCTCACAGGTGTAGATAAATGGCTTGTGTTTAAATGCCAAGCAATTGCAGACCTTGTCAGTTTGGACCATGAAAAGCCTGAGTTTCCCACTCAGGTCCTGCCTGCCTCTCCTGTCGGCAGTGGCCGTGTAGATGAAGACGGCTGCATGCTCTCTCCAGCGGTTGGTGCTGTTCTAGAGTCTGAAGTAAATGAACTGCTGGAAGCTAATAGAAGACAGCTCCAAAACACTTTGAACTACACCCTTCCGAGTGTATTAAACTCAGTGTTCACAGGAGAGTTTAATAGCCTAAAGCCAAAAGCTTGCATTAACTCGTGTGGGCTGATCTCTGGTATATCGTAGACCATTATATTTCACCTGTTTATCCCTTTATTGTGCCCAGTAGCTTGGATTAAACTGAAGCATTTGGAGCCCAGTAACAAAAAAATAATTAGGCTTATCCATTTTAGCAGTGAACCTATGCCTAATGCTTCAGAGAATGGTGAAAATCCAGGAGCAGCATCCTCGTCTGTCTGACCTGCGGGTCTGTCTCCCTGTGTAAGACAAGTACTGGGGACAATTCCCAGGAGCAAGTGAATTCTCTGTACTCTGCTGAGCCCTGTTGAGTGCATGCAGTGGCCAGCTCTGATATTTCAGAGACAAGTAGGGGAAAAAGGAGAACATATCTCACCACGTACACCGAAGAGCACTTTACCTTCTGGTCCCTACAAACTCTTGGTTGGAGTCATGATGTTTATTGGCGAAGAGCGTGTTATTTAGAGATGGGAACAGTGTCAAAATATATTGTGGCTGGAGAGGAGATGATAATGGATTTTACCATTCAAACCTGCCTGTATTTCGGCTACCATTGAACTGTTGCCACTGCAGTTGTACTCTTTGTTCTAGACAGTCTTTAAACATGTACTTAAGTCTCATTAAATCCATAAGGATGTAAGCATAAGCCCAAAATTATATATATGGTGAAGTGATGACCTGAATTCAGACCATAAACTCTCTGCTTTAGGCTTTGGTGAGATAAGGCAGTGAACATTTTCTGCATTCCTACTAACAGCAGGAATAAAAAGTTTGATGGACCTTGCTAGAAATTAACCTCTCTGTTGTTAACGGAGGTGCTTTCTGCTGATTATAGCAGAAATTATAGCAAACAAAACAGGATTTTTTCCTTCTCTCCTTCTGTACATTTTTATTTTGAATCTTGGCTCTGTGTCCTCGTCTGGTATTCTACATAAATCTCTGCTCTGGGCAGGTATCTGATAACTTAGAGATTATTTTCTGACAAATAAGCATTTTCCATTTTCTTGCCAATGCTTTTGATCCATGAAAGCAGCTGAACAAAAGGGGATAGAAAAACCGATAAGAAGGCAAGGTTGTGATTTGGGGCCTTTTTTAAAGCTCTCTGCACACTAGCTGTCTTTTTTTAAAATACTGTTCTTGGTTTGAAACTTTAATTCTGGGCGTACATTTGGTGCCCAGATGGTGCAGACTCACACAGAAGCCCATCACGCTGTCAGGGCAGGCGGATGCATATGTAAATATTTTGCCTTTTTCCCCTATAATATTTGGCTTTGTCTAATCTAATTGCTGTCAGAGGCAGAATGTGAAGAATGCTTAAGAGGAGCAAACAATGAGGACCTCAAATGTTACTGTTGCACTAACTTTGGAAGACACTGATGTAACTAATAGTATAGTTTCTTGGGTTTCCTTATTCATGCTGTGAATTCATGGTGTATGATCGAAGTTAATGCCGAGTAATATTTTACAACCTGAGGCAGAAGCCTGTATTTCTGGTGGAATAACAGCATTTTTAACTCATTGGAGCTGTTGATATAAGTCTAGTGGCTCTGCCTTTTCAGTTCAGGCTGACAGTAAATGTTCTCTACCTGCTGCTTGTTGTATAGCACTCTTTCTTATTTATATAATTCATTGCCTCCTTTAATTTATTATACTGAGTGCCTGTCTTAATGTATTTTTAATACATAAAAGCATTTCCAGCATAGCTGCTTCTCTGACCAGTGGTAGCTAGTGGCAAACAGTGTGGCCAACCACATTAAGGATACCTATTTAGTTATCAAAGGCCTGATCCAAAACACTGTAATATTATTGGAACAGTGAATTTAATAAGCGCTGAATCTGACTATTTAGAGAGAAGGTCTAATAAAACCAGTGCTAGTTGATGATGCTGGCGAAAGGGATATAGGAAACATTACTGTTTGCTGTGGTTTAACCCCAGCTGGCAACTAAGCACCACAGAATCACTTGGCCAACCCCTCCACACCCCCCTCAGTGGGATGGGGGAAGAGAATAGCAGGGGAAAAAAGAAAAGTAAAACTCATGGGTTGGGATAAAGAGAGTTTAATAGGACAGAGAAGGAAGGGAAAATAATAATAGAATGTACAGAACAAGTGATGCATAATGCAGTTGCTCACCCCTGACGCCTATCCGGTCCCTGGGCTGTGGTGCCCCCCAGTCAACTCCACCCAGTCCATATACTGGATATAACATCATACGCTATGGAATATCCCTTTGGCTTGTTTGGGTCAGCTGTCCTGGCTGTGTCCCCTCCCGGCTCCTCGTGCACCCCCAGCCTCTGCTGACAGGGCAGCATGAGAAGCTGAAAAGTCCTTGACTTCATGTGAGCCCTGCTCAGCAACAACTAAAACATCGGTGCGTTACTAACATTACTCTCATCCTAAATCCAAAACACAGCACTGTACCAGCTACTAGAGAAAATTAACTTTATTTCAGCCAAAACCAGGACACTTTTTCATCAATGCAGGAATGGTTGCATTATCACAGGTTTCTGATCAGGTGTGAAATTTGGCTAGGCTATAATTCATGGAAAGCATCAGGCTATGCCAGACCTATTCCACTAAGGACACTAACTATGCAGAGAGATGCCAGGAGGTCAGGGCCTGGAGGTGTGATTATTGTAGAGGATAGAAAGTGGCTGTAAAACGAGAATGTAATAATGTGACCAGAAGACAAACAGACGCAGCACGTTGTGCTTTTTTTCATGGATCATAGATGAAATCCTGACTAGAGGGGGAAAAAAAAATTGCCCATTTCAGCCATTCATGTTGCCATCTGAGGTTCATTATTCAGAGGTGCCAGTAAATTCTGTTTCTGAGCCTGCTATGAAAGTGTCTGGGTACCTTCAAGAGACATACCAGAGCCTGTCATGTGTCCTTCTGCTTGTCTTTCTTCCTGGCCGTGGGTTGGAAGATGGTCAGGAAAATTGTTCACTATCTATATCTATAGACTATTTTTCCTGTGCTGTTTTTTATTACTGAAGGAAAGATCAAAGATGTTTGCTCTGTGTATCTCTTGCAGTATGGGCACTGAGACACATTACTGCATGATAAGCTAAGACGTGAATTTACAGTTTCTACACAGTAAATGCTGGTATGCCTGCTACTAGCTCTCATGGTTCACAGAAAAGAAATTTAAAGAAGAGGTGATTCGCCACATATATCTCTGATGGTGAATGCAGACACCCTGGCAGCTACTTCAGGGCCTTTAATGTATTGTAAGCTTGGATGTGAGCTTACCCTACGTGTAGGTTGTGCTTGTCAGAGGCCAAAGGTAGCACTGGTTGTCACAGTGGACTGATGATAGCGATTGCTTTGCTCCTAGCCTTTGCTTTTGGTTGTTAAGCCCATCTGGTCTGCAGCTGGGAGGACATGTTGCATTCATTAACAGCACTTTCTCTTCTGCATTTTGCCCTTCCCAGGAGCAATTGAGCGGTGCACATACATCAAGTACCACTACTCCTCAGCCACCATTCCCAAGAACCTCACCTACAACATCACCAAGACAATCCGCCAGGATGAGTGGCACGCCTTGCGTAAGTCTTGCTGTTTTTCTTCTCCGTTCTCCTCATGTGCAGACTAAGGGAGGTACTCACTGATAAATGAGAACAGAGGCTTTGACTGACAACCAGCTCTGAGCCCTCTTCTCACATACGGTTTGTCTTCATAGCAGACGGATCGATTTGTTCGTAGGACCTACATCTCTGTTTCTGCAGCTGACTAGAAATTCTGCTGAGGCATGAGAAAGTGGTGGTGGGGAAGAGGCATTTGTATGCAGAGATGAATATTGAGTTAAATACAAAAATGAATAACAAAATCAATGCCCTATTTTTTAATTCAGTAGAACACGCTGTGTGTGAGCGTATTCTCATGCAGTTCATGCTGCTGGTGAGTTTCCTGCTTCCAGGAGAATTCATTGCTGGCTTTTATTGTAGAATATGTCCTGCTGCCAGCAGCTTCTGTCTGAGCTGTGGCATCACTCTCCTTTGAAGATCTAGAAAGAGAAATGCTGCACCCTTCAAGGCACGGGGAAAGAGCTTAGCCCTCAATAATAATCGTAGCCATTGGTCACCAAGTTGTAGCATTTGCTGAAGCGACAAGATCTGACAGGGTTGGAATTGCCTCGGGATGTACTGGCTGGCCTTAAAGCTTTTGTCCTTCTCATCTCAGAGATGGAAAAGGATTTTCACTGATAAGATAGAATAGGTAAGGTTTCACAGGGAAGGATGCCCCTGGAACTTGTTTTTGTTACTACATAGTGATGAGGACTGATGAGAGTCCTGAGCTCCTCTGTCTCAAAGGAAGCAGTTAACAGCTCCTTGAAGGTGGCAGGAGTTGAGGGATGCTGATTCTGATTAAAAGCCTTGAAAGGTGATAGTGGGCAGCTACTGTGTAGACTGCATCAGTTTGAGAAATGTGTAAGACCCCTGGTGTTCCTAGGGCTTTTCGTCTCTGTTTCACTCCCATATTATGTGGCGGTTGCTTTGGGACGGTCCCTCTGAGCTCTCCGGAGGAGAAGGTGTAATGATACAGTTAATTTCCTGCATTGGTAAGGTCAGGCCTGCTTTGAGACTCACTGGTGCTTATAGGCATGCCTGGTCAAATCTGGTAAAGCATTAAGAAAGTTTTAGAGGGTCTTGCTAAACTCCTAATTTTTTTTTTTTTCTTTTTTCTTTTTTAAGATGTGTCTGCGTGACTAAATACATATTTTTACTTTGACATGACAAAGAAAAGGTATATGGAATTCATGCCTCTCAGAAGGTTGTAAGAGGCTGGTCTTGCAAAATACTGTGACTCTGCTCATCTGTCCCTGTAATCAGAAGATCAGGCCATTCGGTTCCCTTGAGGTTCTCTGCTAGTACCTGTCATCTCTGCTGGTGTCAGTTTTATGTTAATGTTGCTCATCTGTGGGCAAAAAGAAACGCACTCTGCATCCAAGACCATCTTCTGTTAGGGTTCATAAGGCCAGTAGGAAGGATCTTTGGTTTATGCTTCTGTTTGTGTATGTGTATTTTTGCCACTGCTGTGATCAAGAATGACACTTCTGCAACTATCCGCTGGGAATCTCACTGTTTAATGTAGGAATTATTGTCTTAAAGTTCATCTTTATTTCAACAATGGCTCAAATATTTCTGAAGCTGTGTTTGTACTTTACCCCCCCCCCCCCCCCCCCCCCCCCCTTAAATATCATTACTAATATACCTGGCCGTGTAAGATACTTGACGTGTGCACCCCTTGGTGGGATCAGCAAGTTCCTGAGCCTGGTGTGTTGGCAGCAGACGGGAGCCCTCAGTTAGGGCATTTGTCAGTCTCCAAAGTGGCAGTCTAGACACACTCTTTTCTACACATTTACATATCTGATTTGGTCCAAGGCACTTTCAGGGTGAGGCAGCTTGTTCTCTCCCCGGGGAGGGTACACTGACTGTGTGGGTGTGCATGCATATTTCTGACCCAGATTTCCTTGCTAGTTCATGAGTCAGATAAGTGTAGGTAGATGTAGATATGGAGATTCAAACTTTCAGTTCTATCTAAAGACAGGGAAGGAGAGAAATACTTTGAAGGTCTCTCTTATCCAGGGCAGTAAGGTGAGTGCTTGATGTATGGGGTTAGCCACTGGAGGACCTGGAGGTCACTGCACTTAAGAATGAACCGAGTGTATATAACTATTTTCTGTGTAAGAACAACGACCTTGCTCTTTTTCTCTAAAATGTCTGCTTTAAAAGACAAGGGCAATACCAAACTTTTCAAATTGTGTTTTGGTTGAGGGGAATGTTCTCCCTTTGCAGTGGAGTAGACATAAATGGAGGAAGACTCTAACTCCTTTCAGAAAGACCCTGTAATTTTGGTCCCTGCTTTAGCAGCCAACCCAGTTCTGTACCTGTGGACTAGCTTCATCCAGGGCACAGCTACTTCAGCCCACCACTGCTCTTCCTGAGGTAGAACAGTGTTTCCGAGTCAACCTGGTCATTATTTTTCTCTTAACTATTTCCTGTTCAGAATTTCCCTTTTGCTGAGTGTTGTGACGAACGGCAAAAGGAGCAGGGCTCAGGCCTCTTCTTCCTGCTCTTGCTATGGGTAACTTCTCAAGTTTGTACCGTGAAATGGAAAAAAAAGTATTTCATGATGAAACACTGGGGCAAAATGGCCTCCTGGGGAATTTCAGAGGAACTGGAAAAGAGAAACCAGAGTGTCTGGTGCCTCTTGCAGACTGAAACCGCTGCTGCCTTTTGCCATATTTGCATCTCAGTATTAGTTATTTTCCTTCCTTGGTGCATGAGCAGCAAACTCCAGCGCCTACGAAGGAAATCTGTTGCTTTGCCTGTTTAGTGGGTTGGGGGATCAGAGGAGAGAGGGTTATGGCCGTGCCCAGCAGACTGCTTTTTTTGAGACTGGAGGGCAGGACTGATGCTCCAACAGTTTCTTTTGAATTTAAGGAGTGGGTGAAGGGCAATTAATTTGAGGCTGAGGACCCCATGGCACCTGTCAGCACAGAAAGCAGATACTCCTCTAGCTGTGCTGTCAACAATGCTAGAAGGACCCAAGGGAGCAGCTGGACCTGGAGGAATGGTTGGAGCTGACTATCATTTTTGATTTTATCTTTTTTCATTCTGTTTGACATTTTCAAGATGGAACCTTTGCTCCAAATTGATTGCCTATGGCAGCATGAGCTAGGGAATTAGGACTTCACTTCCCTGCAATCACTTCCTCTCAACTGTCTCTGGTTAAACAGGGATGGAGGGAAGGATGATTGTAGTATTGCCAGCTCTTGCCTGTCAGGAGATAAATGCTCATCTAATTAGACAAAACGAGTGTCTATATGAGCTGGGAGGGGAAGGGAGAAGGGAAGAAAAGCTGTGTCCAACAGCTTTGATCATGAGTAACTGTCTCGTTATGGAAGATGCCAGTGTAATGACATGATTGAGTCGCTATTAGACATTTATCCTGTCACATTTTAGCCCCAGCCTTGTGCACAGAAACTTGATCCATAGTCCTGGCTTCTGAAAAACTCTACCAGTGTCTGATGCTTTTAGAAATGGAGGTATATATTGTTCGAATAAAACTCCAAGAAAGTCTGAACAGTTCTATATTTATTCACATATTCAGTTCCATATGTTTTATGCTGTTCTTGCAGGTTCACTTTCTGTGTACTACAGGTTTGTGTTTGCAAAACATGGGGAAAGTGATCATGGTAGGGAATTGAGCTATAGAATATGGTACGGACATTGGGAGGGGTGAGAGGCATTTTCAGGTGATGGAATAAGCACTTTAACTGGATGCTTGTACTTTAAGAGAGTTGACCATAAAAAGGGGGCTAGTAATAGTAAATCTTTTTTTTTTTTTTTTTTTTTTTTTTTTATTCTTGCCTCAAAGACTTCAGGAAACCATTGTCTGGTATATTATGGCAAAGAAGGTGAAAGGCTGTGTTTGCTTTGAAAATGGTAGTACCACCAAGGCAACAAGGGGTTGTGCTATATTAAGTTTTGCACCTTCCAGGAACAAACAGTGTTGTTCCCTAAAGCCCCTGTGAGGGGGTTAAGGCATTCAAAGCCCAGGCATTATTTAGTCTACTGGCTTACTCCTTTGTTTCATTTGTTTATTTGTTTGTTTTGTTGTGTTTTTGTTGTTGTTGTTAGGTTTGTTTTTGTTTTGTTTTTTAACAGGCTATAGACAACCCAGGCTCTAAATTGAGTTTCTGCTGCAGTCCTTAAGAAACAACTGTTTTGTGAAAAAAGGTAACCAAAGCATAGAAAATAGACACAGAGAGGAATTTCTAAGTTTGCTAAAGCCAGCTATCTACATTTCATTGTTGTGCTGGGCAAGTTAGGATTAGAAACTTATTTTGAAGAAGCCAAATAGTGCAGAAAAGGGAGGAAGATGCAGATGATAGTATGAAGACAGTCCCTCTCCTTTCTTAGACCTAGACTAGCATGGTGATGTTTTATTTTTGCCTCTAGCTTCTTTTGTTTAGACCTTATGCTTCCTCGCCCATTTTTTACCTCTGAGCATACTTGTGTTTGCCACGGGACAACTTTGTGTATCTATTCCTTGAATGACTTCAACAAGAACAATTGTGTAGGCACTACAGGGTTGTGGGTTAGCCTGCTGTGGGCTTAGACCTGCCTGGAGCTTCACAGGGCTGATGCTTGTGGGTCATGCTGCGGTCTTCCTCTCGGTGGTCTTGGCAAGGGAAGGCTAAATTGCCTTTTCCAGGGCCACCTTCTCTCCAAGACAGGTGAAGTAAGTGTTGTGCCTTTAAAGTGCTGCAAACAAGTAAGTTGCTGATGTGTGGTCTTGAGTGAGTTTTCTTTTTCTCTCGGAGAAAAAGTCAAGCCACTGTCTCTTCCCTTTCTCCTGCCGTGCTAGCTGAAACAGGACAAATGGTGCTCGGAGATTTTGTATGGCAGAGTTCCCAGTGACTTGCACTATATTGCGTGAAAGTCTCCACATCAGGAGAGAGATTAAAAATTCTTCCTTTTCTCCAAAAGCTTTTAGTTTGCTGACTCTCAGATCTTCTCGTGAGAGGTAGGTAGCTGGG